ACAGATGAAAACACAATACATAAAAATTTGTTGGACTTTGCAAAATTGATGCTTATGAGAAAAATTTGTAGCATAAAATTCATCTTTGAAAGGAAAAGAAGTCCCAAATCAATATAAAGCTTCCATCTTAAGATCCTAGAAAAGAATTAAATTCAAATCAAGTAGAAAGAAAAACAGTAAAAAATGTAAAGATCATTAGAACTGAAAATAGAAAGGCAATAGACAAATAAATAAAATTCACAGCCATGCTGATCCAGGAAAAAAAGAAGGAAACAAGGAAATAACCAAATCAAAAACAAAAGAAGAAATAAAAATAATAATAATAATAATAAAGGGAGAAATGTGGGATCCACATATAAATCAAGTATAAAAATCAAACGAATATTCATATTTGACCTGATTGTTTATAGTTCATAATGCGTGATCAAAACCGAAAGTTTCTGTAATGAATGCCCTTGTACTGTTCACCATGTAAGAATTTATTCACTATGTAAGATTTCGTTCACCATGTAAGAACTTGTTTGTTATGCTTCAGAAGATTGGAGACTGATGAGAATTAGGCTTGAGATGGATTAATGATTGTGCATTGAGCATTGACCCCCCCCTATACAGAATTTTATTGTTGTTAACAACCATTTGATCAATAAATATGAGAGATGCCCTCTCAAAAAAAAAAAAGATCTGAAGCAAATAAGGTAAAATGTTAAGATTCAGCAGAGTTGAGTAGTGGGCACACAGGTGTTTGTTTTATCTTCTCTCTAGTATGAATTAGAGATTTCACCTAAATGAAATAAAACAGACATGCAACATTCACTCAATGAAAAAAAAAACAAAACAAACACACAACAACAAAAGAAGAAACAACTAGATGAAATAAACAAATTCTGTGTAAGATTCACACTACCAAAGCTCATTCAAGAACAAAGAGAAAACATGAATAGTCCTACAGCCTTGAAATTTAATTTAAAGTTTAAAAAAAAGCCTCCCCAGAAATAAAACTCCTGTCCCAAATGATTTCACCAATGAATTCTACCAAAAATATAAGAATTCAATACTAATATTTCTATAGCATCTTTTCCAGGAAATGGAACGAGGGGGAATAACTGCAAAACTTCATTTTGTCATGCCAGCATTATCCTGATCTGACAACTAGACAATGACCTTATAGATAAATATCCTTCATGAACATAGATACAAAAATTTTAAAGAAAATATTAGCAAATCAAATTCAGGCATTTATTAAAAGAATAGTACATCACAACCAAGTATGGTTTATCCCAGGAATGCAACAATCCAAAATCAACTGGTATAAAATTTGCCATTATAATAGAAAGAGAAACGTGTTATTATCTTCAGAAAAAGCATTTGACAAAACTCAATATCCAATTATAATGAAAACTCAACAAACTAGGAATAGAAGGGAACTTCCTCAACCTGAGAAAGGGCAAGTATAAAAAAATCTATAGCTAGTACTAGACGTAATGGTGAAAGACTGAATGCTATTCCCTAACACCGAAGACAAAGCCCTCTCAGCACCTCCAGTCAACACTGGGCAACGCAGTTAAGTATTCATTCAAAGACAATACATTCATTTATGTAAAAAGTCCCAAAAAATCTACAAAAAAGGCTGCTAATACAAATAGTTGAGTCTAGCAAGATTGCAAAGTACAATGTTGGTATACAAATTTCAATTGTATTTGTATGTACTAGCAATGACAATTGGAGTTGAAATTTTGTAACTATTGAAAATATGAAATTTTTAAGGATAAATTAACAAAACACATACAAGAATTGTATGCTAAAAGCTGTGAAGCATTAGAGAGAAATTAAAGACAACCTAAATAAATGCAAAATAAACTTTATTCTGGATTAGAAGAATCAATATTATTAATATGTCATTTTTAACATAAAATTGGTCTACCAATTAAAAGCAATCCCAACCGAAATCTCAGCAGGACTGACAAGATGATTTTCAAATTTATATTAGAAAAGCAGAGAATGAAGAGTAGCTAAAACAATTTTGAAAAAGAACATAGTTGGAGGAATCACATGGCCAATTTATTTCCAAGAAAGGTGCCAAGACAATTCATAAAAGATAGTCATTTTAACAAATGCTTGGAGGGATTCTACCATCCGTAGAAAATGAACCTCAACCCTTATCTTGCACCAATGATGCATTATAGGTAAAAAATATGTTGCATCAGCAGCCACAATATAAGAGCATAAAAATAATTGTTTAACCCAATTTGTTTTTAGAAAAACCAAATCACTGTTTAGTAATAATAAGCACGAAGTCAATTAATAATCTCTATCAGCAGCTTTTGACTTTTCCAGTATACACTCAAATATACACATGTGTATGTGAATTCATAGGTCTCCTGCAGTAAACCCAGAGTTCCTTTCAATGACCAGAGTCTATATACTGGGAAAAACTCCCACATCTTTTTCTTCCTTCCCACCAACAAGACCATTTACTGCCATTTACATTTTTTTAGCTGATTTATCTTTGTCCTCTTTTCTTCCTGTTTTTTCTACCACAAATTTCTAAGTCTAAATGTAAGACTTCATACTGTTTCTTTCCTATTTCACTCAAATTCCTTTAATGTATTTCATTCTCCCAAGATCATTTTAAAATGTTTTTTAATTCCTATAAAGCAAGCTATATGTAATCTGTAATATTAGTGAAAATGTTGAAAAAATTAGAGTTCTAGAAAAATGCCCTAAAGAGAGTGATACCTTAAATATATAAAGGACATTAAACGATAGCATTGAAAATTATTTGGATAGTTCTGAATGCTACTAATATCTCTTAATCACCACATGTATATTTTAGAAAGGTAACACTCAGATTTTCAGATCATTTGCTGAGATGTTATACCACCTATAACTCCCCCGATTTACTTAACTCAAAACATACTTTCAAAGAAAATAGTTTAATGTATTGTAACAGACTATATTTCTAAGTAAAACTCCACTGATTTTCTTTTCTTCCCACATTTGAAAAAGTATTTAATAGCCTATTCTCGTTTTTTATGTTTGGCAAATAATAACATATTTTTTGTTTTCAGAATAAACCCTTTTTCACTTCCAAAATTTCATTCACATTATAAATCATGAACTCACATTTTTTTAAAATTCTTTTTTGAAGTGGGAGAGTCTATACTTAAGTCACATAAAATGTTTTGATTATTTTCCTACAGATGGTTCATATATACATATTTTCAGTTATAAAACTCTTTAAAAGTAGAGATTATTTCATTCACTTTGTTTCTGGTACTGCCCTCAGAACAGTACCTACAAAAATTGCTCAGCTCATGTAACAGTCAATTATCTGAATTAATACAATTATTCAATGTAAATAGGGTACTATAAACATGTTTATGTTGAAGAAAAGTACTTATTTGAATAAATGAACTTTGGAATAAAGAATTGGACAGCAATATGAGCATGTGACTAAAAGATGTTATATTACCCACTGTACAAAGGATCCATGGGTGCAACTAGGCTTCTCCGGGCTGTCACTTTGCAATATATACAAATATTGAAAGATTGTACTGTACACCTAAAACTAATATAATGTTGTAGGTCAATTATTCCTCAATTTAAAAACATAACAACTGGCTTTTATTTTTTATTGCATAAAAATAATAACCCCAACAAAAGAGCATACTACATATTCGTATGTTTTGAATTTCAGAGGGATATATAAGAATGAGAAGTTGACACATATAAGCATATAAAGGAAGCTACAAATATGTAAGTTTTTAACAAGTCTTTCTATTACATTTACTCTCTATAAAAAGAAAAACAGCATGAAATCAGAAGTACCACCACTTAGTGAATTTCTAAAAAAAATTAATTTCTAAGTGTTTTGAAAATATTTTTTAATAAATTCATGGTAGATATACATTCCCTGCTCTAAATCCACCGAAGTTAGTACACCCAGCACTAAACTAAGAAAATAGGAAGTATTAAGAGCTAAAACTGGCAATGCTATGTAAACAGAACAATTCATTTATAAATAATAATAAATGGTCACTCCACACCACAGTAACTTAGGATGATTAGAGAATAAATACTTAACTCTGAGAAGGATTACTGACTGGCAGTGTGTTGTTGGTATATGTCAGGATTATTCATCACCCTGACAGTAATATTAACCACAATCCATTTCAGTTACTTCAGTTTATCATTTTTTGACTAATGTTAAAAAACAATGTCACTGAAGGCTGCTTAAATTAAGTGTAGGGTTAACCTCTGTTAGAATCATTTAAAAACTTCTACTAGAAGGTAACTTCTAGTAACAAATCAAATCTCTTATACAGAGTGCTGATACTTAATAAATGTAAGGTTTAAAAGATAGTCACACAAAGCAAATGGTTTTCCTAATTTAAAAATAAAACATCAGCAAATCCTCTAAATGCACTACAATTCCCCTGCCGCCTGTTTATATATACGTTTATACTTTGATGAAGTTAATTTTAAATTCTGGGTAAAGAGCTACACAGCCCTATTTTAAACTAAATACATTACATTGAACAAGTAATAATTAAAAGTTCAAAAAGGTCAGTGTTCCCTTGAGTATTTTTCTTTGGTATTACATAATTACTGTATAATATTACATATAAAAATATTATATAAATAGCAGTTTGCTATATAGGACCTCCCCATTGCCCAACTGATGAGGTAATTTGCTTAAGTTCCCTTACTAATAAATGAAGCAAGACTGACAGAAGTCTACCTAAATCCAAAGATTTTCTACACTGGTCCTCTAGTTTTATCTTTCCAGGCTACTTTCCCATATCATTATGATGTTCTTTTAGAAAACCTCTGCACTTATATTCTACTTTCCATTGCATCATTTTCTGTTTCTATTTATGCAAAACATTTTACTCTTGTTTTGGATTGAAGGCTTCTTCTGTTTCCTAAACTGTCTTTGTTTCATCTGGTTTCTTTCATTTTTCTATTTGTTTTTGTCTTTGTTGTCTTTCACACTGCAGACTGTCCTTAAATGCTTGCTAACAATTGGCTGGACCTTGGTTTCGAAGGAGTCCCGGGAGCGCTGACTGCAGTGCTCCGAGGTCGAGAAGCAGCGTGCCCTGGCCCGCTTCACTGAGCGGCAGTCAGGTAGGCTCCGGGAGGATCCTTGAACAGCAATACCTTTCAGGTCTTTTCTCTTGAGCTGGTCTGTATGTTCAAAGGGTCACACAATCTTGGGTCTTAAGGGTGGGGCTGGCATGAGCCTGGTTGCCAGAGTTCTGATAGCATGACTGCAAAAGAGGTCTGGGAGCCTTCACCATGCAGTACTTAAGGCTTTCAGTGAATCCTCACGTTTTCCATTCCTTCCCTTAGCCCCTCCCTGTGCTGTTGTTGGTGTTCTCAAATCCAAAATGTCTCTGGTGCAGTTTCCCCAAAAAGTACACCTCTCCCATTCTGCCAATATTAAAGGAAGAGTAGTTGGGTATGGGAACAAAGTAGATGTCAGTAAAAGTATTCAATCTAACATAGTCTTTTTGCTTATCCCTACAGTCTACCGGCTCACTGACAGGGGACAGACCTGAGACTGAACCCCAGCCTTCACACTTGGAGAAAGTGTGACCTTGGAGAGTTCCTTAACCTCGCCCCATCCTGGTTTCCTTATCTTATAAAATAAAGATAATAACAGATTCCTTACAGAGTTGTTGAGGGTATTAAAGGAGACAGTGTACGTAAAATGTTTTTTTCCATAACAGTGGAAGGCAACTATTGGGGCTTCCCTCATAATCCTGCAAATATACCCTAAACTTGCCCCACGTCATTCTTCTGCTGAGTAACTATAAACTCCCCAAGGCAAGGGAATGCAATTTACACTAAAATCCATAAAATCAATGTGTATTTGTTGACAAGATTAAAATATTTTCCACATAGTGTCAGCCAAGAACAAATACCCAAGTAAGGGGTAATTTTTAACTTCTTTCTGGGCTTTTACATATTTATTTAAATGCTTTAAGATGCACTACCTACTGCTGTAATAAAAGGTTTGTTTTTTAAGTTTGTGTTTGACTTTGGTTTGACTGAAGCTCAATAAATAGAAAAAGTAAAAGTTGTAACACCTATTATATTTAAACAGTATTGTCTCCCCGCCCCCTCCCCAAAAAAGTGTTCTCTTCCCTCTGTGACATCTAGATGGTATATTGATTCCTGGTATATCTGTTACAGAGCAGACTAAAAGGACTGGCATTCGTCAAAAACAGCACTTAAAACTTGAAGAGATAAAGAAGTGCTGTCTGATCAACAACAGTTAGATGTCGGTAGTCAATTCCAGGTCAAGACTCATGCTGTATATTAAACGTGTGTGTTAGAAATATCTCACATGTAAAAATACACAACCAAATGGTAGGAGATAAACGAGAGACAGAGAAAATCACCTCCTTTTTGTTGAAACAAGGAGAGAGATAGAAGGAAAAAATACAGTAAATACTGAGGGTAAATAACAGCAACTCAACAGGCAAGTAAGTAAACTCAGGATAGCTTGGTTATTCAGTTCTCTCAAGTTGTCTGAGAACTTACTCTTTAGAAACATTTTCATTTAGACTAGGGCAATCGAAGCTGCTACTTTAACAGAGTGTGAATGGTTGTAACACAGGTTTACAAACAACTGATTTATTAGGGCCTGAACCAAAATTTAAAATTCAGTGTGAAGAGCTGATGACAGTAATGTTTTCCTCAGATTCTTACACTGCAAGGAAGGAATCAGGCGATCACAGGGTGGGAGCATTTCCCCCTCACATTTACTTTTCATGTTGCTGCACTCTTTACTCCTTGCATTTACAGTTTACTCTTTACACTCCTTACCTTTTCCCCTAACATTTACTTCTCTTGTTTCTAAACCAAAACAACAGCTCACACCGTGCTTGCACTCTAAAGCTGAAAAATTGGATTTTTTTTTCCCTCTACCGCAAACTCACTCTTTCAGTATTTTTCTCATTTTAAGAAGATGAGCTCTAATTATGAACAAAATGACTGTTTATATATTGGACATTCCTGTTTTTTCCCCCAATCTTCAGTTATTTTTAGTAGGATAGTAACTACCTGATTTTATTCTTTCAGATGTCCAGAAACTAAGAGTCCCTGTACATCATATTACTCAATAAATAATCAAAGTGAAAATAAATGAATAAATATTTGATTAGTAACATCAGGGATTCTCTAGTCTTAACCAAATATTCAGCTGTTTCATAAAACAGGTTTAGTCCAACCTGGGACAAACATACCAGCAGCAGGCAATTTGGAAAAAGCATTCCTTTTTCAAGCAATAGAATGCTGGTTGTATTTTACCATGTATTTCAGCATTTCAGAGCTGAAGGCATCTTGACAAAATAACATTAAAACAGACTCAGCAACTGATGCACAAAGTGGAAGACAATATAACATACTGCAGTATTTCTCAAACTGGGCCAAAACTCACAGTAAGAAATATCTCACTTTAAATCATTACCCAGCATGCACACATGTGCATGTGTGCAGACACACACACTCCTTAAGTAGAAGATCTGACATGATACATGCTGATTTTGTTATATGTTATGCTATGCTATGCTATGCTATGCTATGCTATGCTATGCTATGCTATGCTATGCTATGCTTTTCATATTTAGAAATTCTAGTTGGGAACTACCGTTTGGAAAATACTGGCTTAGTACTTAATTCTAGTTGTACCCACAGCTGTGTGACCTTGTGCAACTTGCTTAACCTCATGGTGCCTCAGTTTCTGCCTCTAATGTAACCTGTCTTAAAAGGTCTTTAAAAGGGTGAAGAGTTAACACATGTAATATATTTAGATAAGAGCCTGATATATAGTAAGTCCTCAATAAATATTAGTTAGCAGTAATAAAGTGGGACTATCTTACCTTTTGAAATTTAGAGCCCAGTTTTCATTTGTAAGTGAGTGGTTATCCACTATGTTTCAATCCAAGAATGTATTTGTTTTTGCAAATAGGTGTTCAGATTACAGAACACATACATATTAAACATTCCAAAATAACTATGATGATTAATTAGTAGAGAAATGATTGCCTCAGATTATCTTGGTTCTCCCCTCTTTGAAAATTGTTGTATGCAATCCATCTCTTAATAAGGAGTAAAAATAAGTCAGAGTAGCCAAGACTTTGAAAATTGTTGTATGCAATCCATCTCCTAATAAGGAGTAAAAATAAGTCAGAGTAGCCAAGAAAATCTTCCTAATTTACAAAGGAAGCTTTGCTACCGAATTTCTTACAAAGAAGAGCAAAAAAAAGTTGATTCTTATCAATTCCAAAGAGCTGTCAAAATATAAAAATCAATGTGTATTTTTAAAATATGGATTTATGTCACTCCAAAGTCTATGCATGGTTAGATCTGTCTTCTCATCAGTCAGATTTTTAGACTAGTGATGAAACAATGTGGAAAGTGGAGAGAAAAAATCATCTTCAAAATTGATCCCTGCTTTTTCTCTGCTTTAAAGATTAAACCATTATGTCAAATGAGGACTTTCTCAATACAAATTTCATTTTCATCAGATTTTCAGATTAAAATACATCTGATCCCCTCAATAGAATGACAATACAAATTTGTGATTATTATTAGGAGATATTATTCAGTAGATGAAACTTCATACCTTCCAAGACATCTTTTATATTGTTCCATATAGACTTTTTCTTTTCTTAAAGAATGGTCAGTAAAATATACAGAAGAAAGGGTATTGGTTATATCAATTAAGCTTTGAAAAGAACTCCCTGGGCAACATGGAAGAGATTACCAAATAACACTATAGCTTTGTATCAAAGCTACTAAAACTCCTCTGAAAACCAGCTTTAAGGAAATTAAATGGACATAAATATGCATAAATAATTCAATGCATTTTAAAGCTAGTCAGGGCATATAATCTACTTAAGATTGGGGATAAGATCTGTTTATTTTTTAAATTAAGCTTTGTATACAATGTTTTCTATTTCTTAAGTTTATTTAAACAAATAATGTAAATGTATAGTATGGGACATATTTTAATATAATTCTACTATAATCATTATTGATACAGATATAGCTCATTTTACATATGAGATGTATTCCTGAAAATATGTGCATAAACAGATATTCGAAATTGAATCACACTGTGCAGACTTTAACACCAACAAGAATGAGATACTTTCATAAAGCAAACAATTATCACTATTTTATACACACAAAGTACAATTTTCAAATATCTGGCATGCTTATTTCACTTAAAATAATGTAGTTAATTTCAAACTCACCCATTTCCATCAATATTTAATCAAAACAATTAGTACTAGTACATTACTTTTTGTGAATTTGAATGACTATTGTAGCATTCAAACTACTGTTGCTTTACAGGAAAGGATATTTAGTTATAACATCTGTGGTTGAGTATTAGGGCTTCCCATTTCTTTCCAGTCCTGCTAATTATACTACTGCTCACTATTCAACTGTGTCTCCTTCAGTTTTTTTTGAAATCACTCTTTATAAATATTTCTTCCTTAGCCCAAAGTACAAATCTTTCATAAAATCTCTCAAAATATAAAAACAAATACCCCCACAACTAAAGGCATTATTATACCACAAAAATTATATTTTTATGTCTTTGCATAGTAGACACTGACATACATGGATAGACTAATGAAAGCAACTCTTTTGGTTTGGTTTTGAGGCTGTCTCTCCTTTTTTTTTCAAGGTAACAAAATTAAAAAAGCAAAATTAAAATTGGTCATCTAGTGGGGCATAAAAATAACCTTATGTATCAAATACAAAAGTTAAATTATAAAGCATTTGTTAAAACAGCATTTTGTCCACCAAAAAAGTATTTGGCAAACTCTAATATACAAATAAATCACTCTAATATTACAAAAAAAATTCAATTTTAATGGATTCTATTTAGCTGGCAAATAACCCATAAGCATTTTAAATGCTGCTTAGACACACAGGAAAGGTTTGAAAAAGTGGCTACGTGTATCTGCTTTTGCTTCTCTGTGGTCATCTTAAGAACATGCCCTAAACATGGCCAGAGTGACCTGCTGGAGGGACATGACTGACACATGCAGGATGGCTGAGTTGTGCCAGCTGAATCAATGAATTCTCATAATGAAAAAATTCATAGAGCCTACATTAAAAAAAAATGTTTTGGAGGCTTTCTTCTGGTCATGTGAAGTTTTTAGTGGGATAGAGAACAAAGATGAGGGTCAAGAAGGGAAGCAGTTGTTAAAGAATAGCAGTAGGAGGAGGGGAAAGGGTTTTGGGAGCTCTTGATCATGTAAAATAATGATGGAAGACAGAAAAATAGCCTCAGCAGAAATATCCAAATAGCCTTCCACTTATCACTATTGGTGACTGTTCCATAAAGAGAGAAACATGCATTATGCCCACAATCCATCTTACTATCCACTGATCTTAAAGAGCCTACCAAAAAAAAGCCCACATGAAAAATCTTAGTAAGTTCTGTGCCTAAATAGTAGTCCAAACTGAAGGACTGGTTCAAAAAAAAAAAAAAAGAAATTCTTCTAGAATTCTAGAAAGGTTATTTATTAAAATATAATTTATCTGTGAAGCGAATTTTAACATTTTAACAAATTAACAAAAAATAAAATTTTTATTGTTATGTACATAAAATT